AGTTCAAACAAGTTTGAAGAAATTCCTCAAGACTTGTAAGACTTGAGGTTCTCACAGCGGTGAGTTCTTCTGGGTTGTTGCGCTGTGTAGTCTGGTCGATGTTAACCAACGTTTCGGAGGTCATACTGCCTCCGTCATCAGAGTATGAAGATTTCCGTCTTCTGGGTTGTTGCGCTGTGTAGTCTGGTCGATGTTAACCGACGTTTCAGAGGTCATACTGCCTCCGTCATCAGGCCACACTTCGTTTGTGAGCATGACAGTGTTTTGCGAAGTCTGTCCAGTGAAACCAGTAACTGGCTCTTAGTGTATTAACGCTATAATTCCATAATGAGCGCTTTGAAGAACATCGACACAAGAGACTTTAATGCGCTGTATGGGACGGAGTAAGATAACATTTCGAAAGCCTTGAACATTCGCCTTGTACGACGAAAATTTGTGGTGGAGGCCGTAGGCGCCGTCTATACCAGTGGCATTCAACCTGGGGTACGCGAAGACATCTTAGGGGGTACGTGAAATTTAAAAAAAAAAATTATTTTATGATAAACACTGAATAATCAGTAATGTAATTTATTTAATTTATTTTAGATGTAGATTATATACTATGTATAAATTGAATTATACACCAACAACTTTGGGGGTATAAAGTTGGAAGAAAAATTATATCTGGGGGTACGCGAATAAAAAAGGTTGAATACCACTGGCTTAGAATACACAGCACTGGATAACAGGACGATAAATAAATGATGAATTGAGAAGTGTGTGGGAGGAAGCATCCGTAACTTCGGGAAAGGTATGCATGTTATGCCATTTGACTGGAAAACCCGAGGGTAAAATTTCAGCCAGAACTGTCGGTATACGAGTCACATAGGTTTGAAACCTGAGCCTCCCGAATGCAAGGCAAGAGTGTGTGACGTGTGTAATCACTCTGTTAATCAAGGTTAGTGAAATTAACTCTTCTACACAACACAAAAAACTGTCCGTTTCATGTATTGTCAGAAACAGTACAAAGATCTTATCAGCATTCACGCGTTACGAAGACGAGGAATGTGATTTTGGCAATTCGAGGTTGGAGTTAGGACTACGTAAAGACGACAAATTCTCGTTCATGAACCTTGTCTCCTTCGGCCTTGCTCTCGAGTTTCCGTGTGTATCGTGTCTTCTTTAAAAGCAAGACAGGAGCAACTCGAGATGGCCGGGTGGGGGGTCCTTCATGGTCTTGTAAAATTATAGCGCACTGAAAGGGAACACTCACTTTTCATTTCCGCAGTTTCGTTTCGTCGCGTGGAGGTCGTAGCGAAATATTCGTCGTCATTTGTTGACTGCAAAGGCGATGAGTCGGAACATTAATACCGGAAATGTAAAAGTTCACGAACAGATAGCAACTTTGCCAGGGATTCAGAATTAAAATATCAAGGACTTTATAAATTCACATAACTAAATCGCAGAGCCGTCATGAATTCAAGGAAGTAGGCGTAAAGAAAGAAATTTAAAACTACAAACAAGTAACGGGAAGTAATACATTCTTTGCGCTTAATTGAATACGTATCATGCTTCTGAAGATTAGCTTATGATATAAGTCGTATAGACCAGTGGTATTCAAACTTTTTGTAAGTCGTATAGACCAGTGGTATTCAACCTTTTTTGTTCGCGTACCCCCAGATATAATTTCTCTTCAACTTTGTACCCCCAAAGTTGTTGGTGTATAATTCAATTTATACATAGTATATAATCTACATCTAAAATAAATTAAATAAATTACATTACTGATTATTCAGTGTTTATCATAAAATAATATATTATTTTAAATTTCACGTACACCCTAAGATGTCTTCTCGTACCTCCAGGGGTACGCGTACCGCATGTTGAATACCACTGGTCTAAGCTACTGGAGGCGTTGTTAAATAAACCACGATGAAGATGGCTGTCTTCTGGGATTTTGCGCCATGTACTGTAGTAGAAATTGACCGACGTTTCAGAGGTGCTTACTGCCTTGATAGAAGCAGTAGCCTGTATACCTGTAAAATATACTTTAGGAAATGGACAGCGCTCAGCATTACGAACGTTGGTTGACCTATAATAAGTCAACCTTTGTCAGGAATCTTGAAGAATGGCGAAGTGAAATGTTGAGCATTTCGAAAACTTTGTTTTCCTTTTCAGATGTTATGGATTAATCATTACGAATTCTTTTGGTTGTTTGGTGGGACACCTTGGGTGGGGGATTAGCCCATCGTGAGGCCTGTACTTGTACACAACAGAACAACGAAGAAAAGCTCTTAACCTATATTCGTGCTATGTGTGTGGGATTCGAACTCATGATCCCAACATTCTAGCCGTCTCAGACCTTGCAGGTCCTATACTCCAAGCCCACTTCAATCGGCATATTTGTTTATTTAAAATCTTAAATGGTAATAGACCCAATTTATTTTATGACTGCATGGATGAAGTATGTTCAGTTCGGTCAGTATGGATTACTTCGAAAATTGCCCAAGAGTGAAGCTGATCTTTAAAGTCTAGTGGTATTTATATTTACCACCTGCTTTATCAATCAATGACTACCTTTTGCATTAATAGGTTTTATGAGATTGACTGCCTTTTGCATTAATAGGTTTTATGAGATTATTACTAACAGGGATAATTTCCTGAAATAGCATTGACCAGTTGGTTTTTGTAATAGTGAACTATGTTTTCTTTGAGGTACGACTGAGTTCTTAAATATTAGAGGAACTTCGGCTTCAGTATACAAAATACTCAGCTGTACAGCGGACAGTGGCGTTTAGTTACAGGAAGCATACAAGGATTTCTTTCCTTTGAGCCCAAATTTGTAGTAGATCTCTCTTGATATTGTAATTAAATCTTTGTTGCTTGAGGTGGTCCACCAGTTTCTGTCATGTGCGTTCGTATTGGGGTCGAGGCTAGCAAGTCTACAATATCCAAAGTAACGAGCACTGAGATTGGATTAGTTGAGAGGTGTCTGTGCCATTATTAAAACTTGCACTGTCATTTCAGACAAAGTGGGTTATTCTAAACCCCTCATTCTTTGGACGTTACGAAATCGAACGTCCGTCATTAAGATCCAACGGTGACATACTACAAATGTAAAATTCGCGTAATATTTTTAGTGCCATATTGTGCATTTAGTAATAAAGATAAAATGTTAATGAATTCCCGTCTCCACATCCTGAGATGTTGTACACTTTATACACTCACTGTACTCCACGCTGCTGGGTGGCGTGTTTCGAAATATCTTCCTAACCAGAAGAACATCAACGTCGATTTCTGTCTTCTGGGTTGTTGGGCTGTGTAGTCTGGTCGATGTTAACCAATGTTTCAGAGGTCATACTGCCTCCGTCATCAGGGCGATGAGTATGAAGATTTCTGTCTTCTGGGTTGTTGCGCTGTGTAGTCTGGTCGATGTTAACCAATGTTTCAGAGGTCATACTGCCTCCGTCATCAGGGCGATGAGTATGAAGATTTCTGTCTTCTGGGTTGTTGCGCTGTGTAGTCTGGTCGATGTTAACCAATGTTTCAGAGGTCATACTGCCTCCGTCATCAGGGCGATGAGTATGAAGATTTCTGTCTTCTGGGTTGTTGCGCTGTGTAGTCTGGTCGATGTTAACCAATGTTTCAGAGGTCATACTGCCTCCGTCATCAGGGCGATGAGTATGAAGATTTCTGTCTTCTGGGTTGTTGCGCTGTGTAGTCTGGTCGATGTTAACCAATGTTTCAGAGGTCATACTGCCTCCGTCATCAGGGCGATGAGTATGAAGATTTCTGTCTTCTGGGTTGTTGCGCTGTGTAGTCTGGTCGATGTTAACCAATGTTTCAGAGGTCATACTGCCTCCGTCATCAGGGCGATGAGTATGAAGATTTCTGTCTTCTGGGTTGTTGCGCTGTGTAGTCTGGTCGATGTTAACCAATGTTTCAGAGGTCATACTGCCTCCGTCATCAGGGCGATGAGTATGAAGATTTCTGTCTTCTGGGTTGTTGCGCTGTGTAGTCTGGTCGATGTTAACCAATGTTTCAGAGGTCATACTGCCTCCGTCATCAGGGCGATGAGTATGAAGATTTCTGTCTTCTGGGTTGTTGCGCTGTGTAGTCTGGTCGATGTTAACCAATGTTTCAGAGGTCATACTGCCTCCGTCATCAGGGCGATGAGTATGAAGATTTCTGTCTTCTGGGTTGTTGCGCTGTGTAGTCTGGTCGATGTTAACCAATGTTTCAGAGGTCATACTGCCTCCGTCATCAGGGCGATGAGTATGAAGATTTCTGTCTTCTGGGTTGTTGCGCTGTGTAGTCTGGTCGATGTTAACCAATGTTTCAGAGGTCATACTGCCTCCGTCATCAGGGCGATGAGTATGAAGATTTCTGTCTTCTGGGTTGTTGCGCTGTGTAGTCTGGTCGATGTTAACCAACGTTTCAGAGGTCATACTGCCTCCGTCTTCATACTCACCGCTGTGAGAACCTCAAGTCTTACAACATCAACGTCCTCACCGCCTGGAGGTCCTCAAATTTCACAGTGTAAGAATGTGACTATCCTGAGAACTTATTTTGTTTCTTTCAGTCCTTCCAGTCGAATGTCAGGATAGTAACAAAAACGATAATTACTTCTGTGTTCACTGCCCTTTCATAATAATCTTGTCAACTTAATCAACCACGAGATGAAGTAAAAAAAAAGTTTACGATTCGAATGTGGATTTGACCCAGAAAGATGGAATCATCGGATGCGTGAAAGTAAATAATTGTCTTTTAAACCAGTTTGCAGTAAATCGGTTGACATTGTGTAGTTAACTCAAGAGACGTGTTTCATTCGGCCGCTAAAGCACCGAAGATATCGTAATTATACTTTAAATCAGTGACTGAGCTCACACCACTCAGGATTCATCGTCTGCAATCATCCATTCATCATCCAGGACAGAAAGTCTCCAGATTCGAGTTGTCTTGCCGAGGAGTAGTAACAAGAAATCTGTGGCACACAAATAACTTCCAGATATTCCAGTAAAGAACAGAGCATTCTTGGTGCTTCCATCGGCATCGTATTTGTTTTGTGGGCCTGGATTCTGTACCCTGTCATCTGGCTGTTATGGTACAGTGACCTTATGCTTTGTTATTTAGCCTCATTCATGTTTGAGAATGTTTTTCTCACCTGCAAAGTTGTGTTACTTGCGGAGAAATTTATGGGTATGGCTGGTGGTATTTCATGGTTCTTTATTAAGGAAATAGGCGATGTCTGAGGAGGGTTTCGAAATCTGACAGCGATGAATGTCTGGAATTTTATGCTCATTAAATCGGGTTAGATTTAAGTCGACATTTACATTTGCTATTCAGTGCGTGTAGGCTGCCCAGTCGATCGTACTGTCAAACTGTATAATATTTTTTATCGTAACGGTGATTATCAAACACAGGGATTGCCAAGCGTTTGCCCTCGAAAATCAAGATGCCACGGAATTGATATTTGAGGTTTTAACAGCGGTGAAGATGATGTTCTTCTGGGTTATGGCATCGTGTAGACTCGAAGGAAGATACCAGCGTCTCGGAGAACGACGCTGTCTCCGTCTTGAGCCTGTCGAACTGTTTTCGTGTGCCCGCGAGAGCGTCGCTTAAAAAGCTGAGGAAGAGGTAGTTCTGTCAGTAACTCGTGCCTTGCGTTTTCTTACGTTTGGGATGGGGTTAGGAACATAGCTAAATGTTGACGTATTACATTAATAGACTCTTAATTGTTAATACTCTCTCCCGCCATTAGCTGAAAAATTGTTTTTGGCGTTTTGTCTAGGGCAATTATAAACTGGTATCAAAATGTACAGACACAGAAATGAATTTAAAAAGAAAGTTTATAAACATAGCACGCAATGGGTAATGCATTGCATAGTTCGGGCTGGACGACAAGGTTTAGATTCCCAGGAAGGTTATAGATTGTTCCTCACCAACACGTCCACAGCTCTGGATCCACTCAGCCTCCTCTACTGGAATGGCCTGAGTGTGGAGTTACGCCTTCATTCACCCACACATAACAGATTTATTCTTTTTGAACTACGTGTTCAAAAAGTGTGCCCTTTTATGGCCCTTTTTGTCTGTTTCCAGTTTTTGTATGAATTTCAGGTCAGCAGATAGTTGCATGATGTAGTTTTGTTTACTTTTCAGATGAGTCATTTGTTCAACATGTTCGTGAAGCAGGTTCAGGACTACTGTGGTTCTCTCAGTATGCCTGGTGAGTTTTTAAAGAAGGCTGTTCCATGACTTGCCTACTTCATTATGCAGGGTTTATATGGAGTAAAATTTTGTGCTAACCCATAAATTGTAACTTATAAAATAAGTAAATTGTACAATGATTTTAGTCTTGTAAGTTTTGATACCATGTGGGGGTGTAGGAAGCTACCACGTTTGTCTGAAACAATGGTAAGCTACTTGATCTAAATTAGAACATTTAAAATCAGAGTTAAATGCTCTTGAGTTCATTATATTCTTAAAGTAGTATGTGGTGTATTCAGTATTTATTGTGCAAATTTGATAACCATTTTTAACAACATACAATTTTTTTAATTTAAATTATGAAATATATATATATATATACTTATTTCAACAAGACCTTGGTCAGGAAACCTGAAGTGAAGAGACTGCTAGCAAGATCTAGGCATAGGAGGGAGGATAATATTAAAATGGATCTTAAAATAAACAGGGTTTATGAACTGGATTTATTTGCCTCAAGGTAAAGTGTGGAGGTGGCATTCTGACGTGATAATCAAACTTTTGATTCCATTAAGTGGGGAATTTCTCTACCAGCTACGTGAATGTTAGCTTTTAAAGGAGTCTCTTTTGGGGGGGGGGATGAGATTCCCCCCAGTAGCCACTGGATAGTAAGAAATGGTTCGATCCCAGGTCCATCAGAGACATTATGATTCTCATGGTTAAATAAATAAAAATAAAATGCAACTTCTGTGCAAGGAACCAAATTTGAGTCATCCTGAACCAGAGTAATCATAACTTCAGATGATTTATTGCTAGGTTATTAATACAATAGAACTCCTGTAAGGCATCGTACTTTTTACAGTGTACCAACTTTTCTTTTCTTCATTTTGTTTCATTATGTAAAGATGGACACAACATAAAGCTGGCTGTTCATTTAATTCTACCGTTTGGGTCTCAGAACCCACTGTATGTGCCTTCAAGGTCTCTGCATAATTACATTTCAAAAGCAACTGAAGAAGGTTTTACTTTTTACAGATTGTAATAAGGTGTTGCTAGTTTATGGGCTTACAAACCTTGCCAAAATGGAGGAAGAGAGTCTGGACAAGATGGATCCTTACCAGAGAGGTGCAACAGATATTAGTAAGTATAACATACAAATGTTTTGAGCACCTGGTGCTCAAAATGTGGATAACCAAAGAACTCTGATATTGCCTCACTTCTGAGTTCAGATCTTAAAATTGTTATAATTGTCATATTTATCATACTGGTACCATAAGATTGCACCTTGTTGTGGTGGTGGTGGGGCTTGAGTACCTCAGTGACCCCAAGAGCTATGCTGACGGTAGCATAGCTACTGGTAGGGCCTCCCTAGCCAGATTGGTCGAGGGGGAGAGGTCAGACTAAGACAGGTACCCTGGTCCTCCAGGTTGGGGGTTGGTCGCAAGGCTAACAACCTTGCACTGTAAAAAGGAAGACGTTTCGAAACCTCAATCAAAGCCACGGACCTAACAGAGGACTGAATGGAAGAGGAGAATTGAGGAGGCCATGGACCGAATATGGACCGGAGAGCCATAGAAGAAGAAGGTACCACAAGATGCAAGATTTTTAATTAAATATGTAAGGGGAAGGGGGAAATGTATCTTGGGAAAATATCCTTTGGTGATGTAGATTTGAGATGACTCAGGATAGAACCCAGTGGTAGGGTTTAATTTAGCAGTGTTGTTCACTTCTTCTGCTGAAGAGTTATTTTCTTGGCAGTACTGTTGCAGGCATAATGTTAGGTGGAATTTCTAGATTGTATGCATGATTCAACCACAGATTATTTCAGGGAAATTTTCGTAAAATATGTCTTGTGGAGTAGTCAGCATAGTACAAAGAGCTGCAGTCTTTAATGATTCAACGGTCCTGAGCAATACATAGTGTAATATAATTTACTGGTCATAATTTCAAGTGGGGAATAAGGAAATTTGAAAATGGACAGTTTTTCATCTAATTCTGTAACCCTCTGCATGTGTGTTTTCAGTCTGGGAGTCTATGATGAAAGGTAGCTACAAGACGCCATCAAACACAAAAGAACCCTTAGATTACAGTTATATCTCTGGAAATGGTAAGACATTAGATTCTTTTGGAATGAAACATACAATAAAATCTATATAACTAAGCATTTGTCTGCATTTCCTATTCAGAAAGGTCTGAAACAAGTACAAAATAAATATAAGTAAATCCTTTATTAAACTGCCTTAGACTATACCATTAGGAAGGTCCAAGAAAATTTGGAAGCATTGGAATTGAATGGAGTACAGAAAGTCCTAATCTGTGGTTAATCAGGACTGAGAAAATGCCACTTAAAGCAAGGAATTTCTGCTAATAATAAAGGGTTAAGGACTGGACCATCCGAGAGTACTGAGAATGGGTCTGTAATTGGAAAAGGTAGCATTTTGTACTTGACACATTTGACAAGGAAGCATTTCCCAACAACCTATAATACACCCATTTTGAACTAATGATGATATTAAAATACATGTTTTTTCATAAATAACCATATAGTTCCTCAATAATTTGGCCTCATATATCCAGGGAAACAGATAATGAAGACTTGGATAATGAAGACCATCTGTACATCAGCTTTCTCGTCTAAACTCATCATCAGCATTCTGGTCTTTACTGATGATGATATTTATTGAATGAAAACATTTATAGTCTGCTACAAAGAACATTTCAGAAACTCTAATAGATGCTAGTAAGGAGGATGGTCTAGAAATAAATGTAGAGTAAACTAAACATGCGTTGTTGATGTTGGTCTTCTGGATAGTAATGCCACGTGAACTTGCAGGTAAATACAGAGGCAGTATGTTCCTCCACATACTGGTATCTTCCTACAAGTCCACATGGCATTACTATTCAGAAGACCAACACTGCCATCGTCACTGCTGTGAGAACCTCAAAAGTGATAAGTGCATGTTGGTATGTTATCACTAGAATGTCGGACAAAATTATAATATAAAGGAAAGTAACAAAATGTTAAAGAATGTAGCCGAATTAAAATATTTAGGAATACTACAATAGATCAGGATTGCATACAAAGAGAAGTTACAGTTTTATGCAGAGAATTTGATATGACTTGTATGTTTGTAGGACCAAGCCCCAGTAGTGGAGGGAACACTTTGGGTTCTCAAGAGGAAGCGTCAACTAACGTGGAGCAGTACTTGACTGCCATTCCTAATGTGCCCAACAAGTATGTTATTGGCCCAATGGTGGTTAGAGTTTTACCAGATGGAAGGCCTGTACCAGGTAAAACAAACTGTGAAGTGATGATGATTGTCTTCTGGGATGTTGCACTGTGTAGTCTGGTAGAAACTGGCTGACATTTCAGAGGTGCTTACTGCCTCCATCATCAGGATGATCCAGAAGACACTCATCTTCACACTAACTGCCATTAGAAACTGAAATCTCACCATGCTGAGCTGGTGATCTTTCGAGAATTTAAATTTGAAAATTCAACATTTCTATTCAGGAGAGATTAAGTTAGAGGAATATGTAATAAGTCTATTCTGAAGAGTTTAAAAAATTATACTCTTCACCAACTATTACAATGGTCAATAAATACTGAAGATGAAATGTGGCATGTATAAGGAAAACAAGAAATCATAAGAATTTTTGGATTTTTAACCTGATTATGAGATACTCTTTGGAAGACCAAGGCAGAGAAGGGAAGATAGTATTAGAATGGATGTTTCAAACTAGCTTATGAAGGTGTGAACTGTATGAGCTCTAAGTTCAGAAAGTTCAGTCATCTCACCCACTTTTGTAGCAGTAAAGGACATATATATATATATATTTACTTATTTTTTTGAAGGAGATTCAGAAAGGCCTCTGCCTAAAGATGAAGATGCAGAAGAATTCAAATTGATGCGATCTAAACCAGCTCCATCAGTTGAAGAACTGATGAACAGAAGACCCTACCAGCAGGAACTTCGACCACCGATGCAGCAGTCAGGCCCATCTTACAATGGTAGATACCAGCAGTCAGTCTTGCCCATCACCGAGACTCAGCAGCAGAAGAAGTCTTCTTCCGAAATGCAGGCTGTGTATGTACCTCCACCTAGCCAGTTCAGGATACCAGCCCTGTAAACTTGTTATTTCAACCTGATTGTAGGCGTTCTCAGAAGTGAAATAACTGACTAAGTGATAATCATTTAGAAGTCCGATGGAAATACCGGCAGTTCATTCTTATAAGAATGAAATATTTATTGTAATGATGTCAGCATTATGAATGATTCTTTTTCACCTCAGCTGAAGTTTAAGATTGCAGTAACTATAAGGTAATAGAGAAGTAATTTAATAATGTTTATAGGACTGAAGAGTGACTTTTAGTTCCATAAAAGTTTAGTCTTGCATTTTAAACATACAGAATAAACATTGATTATATTAAAAAACATAAAACATTTTCTATTTCTGATCAGTTTCTAATATAATTTAATGTGTTTATTGGTGGCACTTATAACAATATTTCTTCTCATTTCTAATACCTGATCAGTTACTGAATCAGGGAAATCATCAATTTGTCATTATTATTGTAACGTGGGTCGGCGTTGCGACGTGGATTGTCAACCCTGATTTATTCGTGTCAAATTAAATCAGTTATAGTGGTCTGCACATACAGTCAAGTCTCTACAACAACAACACACTTCGTGTCTCTGTTCTCTGGTGTCAGAAGTCACATTATCATTATAATATCACATTACATTTTACAACCTGAGCCTTTGAGAATAAAATTAAATAAGCACTAATATCCAATGTATGTCCCATAAACAGTGAAAAGTTTAAGGCAGACAGTCAAGATTTGCTATTGGCTGGCTTCAGTGACGAAAATTGTCGTCTTGGTTCCTGAATTTCCTTATTTAGGACAAATATCTGAAGATTTTATTACCAGACTTTTCATCAGCAAATGTAATGTACTAAGCTGAATAAATATACACTATTATTAGAGTTAGTAGTTATTATTCTACATTATGTTAAAAGTAATTAATCAATTGACACAATATTAAGGCATTATCTCTTATCTTCACTCAAGTACCACTGTAGCATATAAATGTAGCCTCGTGACCGGCTTGCCCAAGTGCCAGAAAGCGTGCGTAAAGAACGGGTAAAAAATTTAAGAGAAATGAATAAAGGAATGATGAGTAGCTTTTATCAATCTTTGTACTCCACTAATGGAATTGTTACATGCAGTTTCTCAGAACCTCCAGGGATATAATTTGTTTATATATTTTTCTGTAGGAATTTTGGGAAAAGGAAAGGGAAAAAATTAATCATGTTTAGCTGTAACATTTAATATAAATCAGAGAGACTTTTTAAACATTTAGGAATCTGATTTGTGTCTATAATTACTGCTTTATAGTTTTTTCAGGTGAATGCCACAACTTAAGAAACTGACTGAGTTTATTACATTCCACAATGACGATAAAATACTCTTATGCAAGATGCATTTTAGTAAGTGAATATTCTACAGAAGAACGTATAAAGTAAGCAGTTTGTTGTTACTGATGTTTTTCTAGGTTGTAATGTCATGTGGCCTTTTAGGTCACAATCCAGAAGAACAGCATCAACATTTTCACCACCATGAGAACTTCAAATCTCACTAAGTTTGCTGTTTATTTTTGTTGGCTAGATTAAAGTACATTGAAAGATTATTTGTAAATCTTTACCATTTAGAAGGAACAATAATTTATGTATGATATTGCATATTTTAAAATTTGGCTATGAAAGAAAGTCTTGTTCATTACTGACAGTTTACTTTTGTGTTGTGTATTTTTAAATGTACCCAAAATCTTGTCTTAATTTCGATGCATTTCCTCTGAATAGAACACCAGTCATCAATAACCTATGATAGTGGTTAGAATAATATAAGTTCAGGGCTGGCTTTAGGCTACACAACTAGGGCTACTACCTGGGTTAAAAATGGGAAGTGGAACACAGACTTAAGGATGCACCAACATGTTTCTGAAGACAACTTTTTAATATTGCAGTTCTTGAATTACTGGGAGAGAGTAATATGTTTAGATATTGTGATCAGTTTAATTAAAATTTACCAGTCATGTAAAGTAGAAATTGTTGCAAAAACTTATGGATGCAACCTAAATACTGTAGTGAATCGGAAGATACTGTTGGATGGGAAAAAGTATTAACACATGAAGCAAGAGACTCATGTCGTTTCACATTTTAAACACAAATAAGCAATTTAGAATTGATAAAACATCTCAGCAACAAATTATGGTTATTCCTATATGAAATAATGCTGTCCTATTTATATTTTTAGCTCAGATCCAATCATCTGTTCTTAACATTGATTATGAAGGTGTGATAGTTGCCTAACAGCACAATAAGAGAATTTTTCCATCATCTCTGAGTAAGAAAAGTGTCTTACAAGTAGATAGTGACTAGAGAGAGGTGCTTGTGTTTTCCCAGGGTTTAGGCTGACCCTGCTTAGGCACAATGGTGATGACTTATTTATTTTTAATTTTAATTAATTCTTTTTGTATTAGATGATGCATGCATGATGCCATGTCAGAGACAGATGTTCAGTAATATGAATAAGTATTCAGTGAAAAAAGTGTTCAGCATTTTTGTAAAGGCCTTTTCCTCAGAATACATAATGAATGTTGAGGAACAATTCACTGTTACTAGAAATGAATGACATTTATTTTTATTTCAATAAAGCACAGTATAAAAATAAAATTCTATTTCAGGTGTATTACATACCTGAATTTAAATTTGACACATAATTGTAAATATATTTATATATATTTGTTAAAGTTTTATCATATTTTTAGCACTAAATAATATTTACTCTTCTAATGTTTGGTCATCATTCCATGTTATTCATAAATGAGTTGTTTTTGTTATATAAAATAATTATTTGCTATGACACAAAATGTACTTTGCCTGTTAAATATAGTTTTGTTTGATGTAACTGCATTTGTCTCCTTTGTCAAACTTGTAAGCAAACATAAAAACTGATCCAGTTTCCTTCTAAGTGGCAAGTCAATGATGTTTGGTTTCCAGAAATTTGTATGTGTTCTACACCCTGCTTTGTGTTTCCATTGGTATATTCTCTTGCAGGCAATGTCAAATAAGAATGAAGTAGGAGCCATGTGTGTAATTTAATATGAAACATTCCATACACTGAAATAAAACAAAAAATCACTGCTTATTTGTGAAATCAAGATATCACCTACAGTAATTCCAGTTAACAAATCCTTTCAAATAGAATGCGGTAAAACAGGTATACCATAACATAATGGCACAGGACTTTCCATTAGCTGTTCAAGTTATTTCATAGTTTATGTAATCTAAATTTCATAATCATAATTTAAAGTTTGTAGCAGGATGTTATTGTGAGTCAGTTCACACAGCCCAGGGCTCTAGGATTTAATCAGTGACAGCTCTTTCTTGAACATACAAAGATGACCATCCTCTGGGTTGTTGCTCTGTGTAGACTGGTAGAACTTTACTGACATCTTAACTGCTTCTGTCATCATGACCCAGAAGACAGTCATCTTCATACTTGCCACTGAGAACTTGATATTCCAATGGTCAATTTGTCCAGAAAGGACATCACCTAACAAAGTAAGTAGAACTTCACTTGTTTCTTGCAGTTCTTGGGTACCAGCACAAAGTTGGAACACTGTCTGCCTGAATATCAGGCGTCTATGTTATTATTAGGCTTAAAACAACACACTCAGTAGCATATGTTGTGTTTTTCATTAGTATTGGATAAATATATAAATTTTTATTATGTATAAGATGTTTTATTATAAAATGTAAATAGTATTTTATTGTATTTTATGTTACTGTTAATACGAACGAACGAGACACTTTGAACGCTGCAACAAAATTAAAAATACATGTTATGATATTGGACGAGCATTATCAGTAAAGGGCACTATTTATAAACTTTCAATGTGAGGTAGAGCCATACCCAGGTTATGGTTTATAGAGGTTTCATATCATTCAGAACAAGTTAGATTTTGTTTTTCCTTTATATTTCTTACTACTCATCTCCAAATTTTCATTTCACTACCAACAATGTTTTTATTCATCTTATTTGCCTGCCACTTTTCTTTGTTATGATCAACTAAATATACAATATACGCAATTTGTTTATTGTCTTCTATTATCCTGCCATCTATTGTGGTAAACAGAAATCGAGTGACAGTTGAAATCGTGTAAGTATTCCAACATTACTTTTTGAAAATAAATTATCCTTCTGCGTTTTATATTGCTGCATTTGCTATGTAATACATTTTGATTGTGTACCATGTTGTAATATATATATCAATGTAGGGCGGTACTCATTATATTATTGGGCCATGCATTCATAGTTTGATCAGCTGTTCTATGGGATTTAATACTCTCTACTTCCGGGTAAATTTCAGTCGATGACGTACAGTGACTCGTGATTGGCTTTATACGCCATTTTCTTGTCATCAGAGAACGACATAAAGAACTTCCTTCTTCTGAGGAAGGTAATTTTCTTTATGATTATAATTATTCGTTTAGCTGACGTAAGTACTGAGATTCATGTATTGCCGCTTATATTTATAAGACGTTCCTTATATGTAAAATGTTTCATGTTCGCTTTGCATGACAGTCAAGAATTTAGCGTTCTGGATCTTTTGTGTTGCCCGAAAGAATAGAATGTAATGTAGCCCGTTAGTAGTAGTTAGCTAAAGAACGTGTATAAGATTTGTTACTACTTGTAGTTACTAAAGTAGTGTAAATCTTTTGTTCAAAATTTTGCGTAGCTGTAGTTTTGGTTGTCATATAACAAGATAACTTCATCGGATCTACTCTGCATGTAGTATTTATTTGAAGATTTCTGTCTTCTGGGTTATTGCGCTGTGTAGTCTGGTCGATGTTAACCAACGTTTCAGAATATTCATCTCCCTGATGACGGAGGCAGTATGACCTCTGAAACGTTGGTTAACATCGACCAGACTACACAGCGCAATAACCCAGAAGACAGAAATCTTCAAATAAATACTACATGCAGAGTAGATCCGATGAAGTTATCTTGTTATATGACAACCAAAACTACAGCTACGCTATTTATCGTTGTCCAACCATACAGTTTACATTCCATGGGGCTATTATTTGTATAGAGTTAGAAGATAGCATATAGTGTTCGGACCCGTGACATGAACAAAAATAAATGTACATCTTAGAAACAATTACTAGAAGAACTGGAGCAATATACACACAGTTGCCATCTCTGTAAGTACAGATTTGATTTGTTTCATCTGAATTCAAGAACCAGCGATCTTGTTTAAAAAGACTTCCCATCATTATTTGGGTATTGTTTATAGTCTTGCATGGTAATAGTTGCAATTACATTAAAGTTGTGGAGGATTTTCATGTAACTTGATGGAAATCTTGGGCTACATTGCATTTCCTTATGCAGTTATTGAATTCAGTTCGATTTCTAATATTAGCTAAATTTAATTCAGGTCTCAGCTCTTTGTCTGAATTCATGATGGACTAGAATAATTGAAAGACTGCATACCATATATGACAGAGCTTATGTGACTGATGAATGACAAACCAGGCTTAAACTTCATATGCTGTATTTTGTGGGCTTGGATGCATACAGAGATTATTATGAATTGTGTGAGTTGGTCAACATTATTGAAAGCGAGGGGGTTCTTCTGTCAGATATTAGAAAAGGGCTGGCATTTGGGTTGATAGGAATTTCTGCCATTTTTGCTACCACCAACTTCTTTTCATTTGTACTGTGTGAACCATCATCTTTGCAAAATTGATATTATTAAGACTATTACTTTAATCTTATTGATAAATGTGTGATATATCCACTCACTCTGGATGATTGCACTATGAAGAAGTGGGTTGTATTGCTGTCATTTCACAGGTACTTGCTGCCTCATTCAGCAAGGTGAAGTGAGTACCCACTGGCCTCTGCTGGTAAGTCCATTATTTGGGTACATTCTCTGGATCTGCTATTGTGAGATATAGTTAAGGATAATATATATAACAAGAAGCCTGCTATGAACATCAGTCACCTCAGAGAGTACATTGAGGAAGTGTCTTATGATCAGAAGACACAGGGCTTTGCAAAATAATTGCAGCTGTGTGTAAATACTGAAGGTGGACATGTTGGAACAATTGTAAGAAAATAATGAAATTGTTTTTCCATGAATGTTGTTATTACAATTTGATTATTATTCATTTATTTATTTAGTATAATGTTCAAAATGTGTGGTGACATGTGCCTTGATATGTATTGTACCATCATGGAGGAGCTCATTACAGAAACAATTCAGTGTGATGTCTTTTAGATTGTTTTCCAGACTGCAGAAACATAATGGTATGAGAGTTTTAATATCCAGTTAGAAGTGTTAACTTTTAAGGTATTTGAAGTCCCTTTCTGTTCTCCCCAATGCAAAAACCATTGAAATATTTATATTTTATTTTAAAATTTAAAATTTTGTGTTGACTAACAACAGACATTCTTCTTCATTTTGCAGATCAGCACCATAGATGACCCATTGTGATTTCATTTCAGAGTTTAACCTTAAGAAGTATTTTCTTATTTTTTGTTGCAGATTAAAATATTTGTAACTTCTGTCTGGTAGTGAGACATAAGAAGAGAACATGGCATCCCGCAAGAAAGTACTTTTGAAAGTAATTATCCTGGGTGATTCTGGAGTTGGTAAAACATCACTGATGAACCAGTATGTCAACAAAAAGTTCTCAAATCAGTACAAAGCAACAATTGGTGCCGACTTCCTCACTAAAGAGGTGATGGTAGATGACCGAATAGTTACCATGCAGGTCAGTGGTAAAGGCTGTGAAGATAACTATTAGAAGAATCACATATGGATTGCATGAATGTGCACATAAAATGGGCTAAGCATGTTCGTGGGTTTGAACTCTTTTTTATGCAGTTACAGTTACATTGCTTAGTTTTAATGATTTCTCTTAATGTCAGATAAAAGTGAGGTTTCATTACATCTATAGCCATTGTGATGTGAAGTAAATCTGGGAATGTTACTGTTGAAAGGTATGTGAAATTCTTGCAAATTTTGAGTTGTATGATGAAGATAGTTGTTTTGAAGAATTATAGGAACTCGGCTTGAAAGGTGATGTGAGGAGACCTCTCGCACTAGGACAGTGTCATAAATGCACCTTGTTATGGATCTTTTGTATTTTAGATTTGGGACACTGCAGGACAAGAACGATTTCAGTCATTGGGAGTGGCATTTTACCGAGGTGCCGACTGCTGCGTATTGGTCTTTGATGTTTCTGCTCCCAACACTTTCAAGTCCTTAGATAGTTGGAGAGATGAGTTCCTAATACAGGCTTCTCCCCGGGATCCAGAAAATTTTCCATTTGTTGTTCTTGGGAATAAAGTTGATCTTGAGAACAGAGCAGTAAGTATGAGCCTGGTCATTGGATTGTAATTTGAACATTTTTCATGAGGTTTTGTTTTATGCTATTATGCCATCTTCTGAGCTCTAAATTTAGGAATATTGGGCATGTATTTGCAATATACATTATTTGAAACTGTTAGAATGGTTACCCTTACAGAATTGTTATGTTTTTACTCTACTTCCAGTCATTCGTAGGACAGAAATCACTGGAGGACCAGAACTCCATACCAGTACACAGTCATCATATCTTTCATTTGACCCTGCACTTTACACACAATAAATCATTAAACAGGTGTCAGTAAACAAAACTACCCATTCAAAACTGGGATACTGGGAACGACCCGTTCTTCAAGTGCCTGAGCACTGTGGGTCTCAACTTTTTGTTGGCTCGATCTATAAACACTTGTGATGCCAGAATTAGAAAGTAGACTCAACAATTTGTATTTATTAAACAGGGCCTATATGAGACATCTTATTAAACTTTGTGAATTACTTGTTCATTCTGTTGTTTCTTCTGCAGTTTGTTTGACTCAAAAGTTGCACATGTTTCAAATTGATGGCTCAGTGTGTGGACAATATGACATAGGCAGAGAGAAACAGGTCACCGCAAAGTTTGTCTTACAGCGTTACGAGTTTTATGTCTATAAATGACTGTATTATTTGTTCATAAGCCACTTTTGCAGCTAGAATGAAATGCAATTATGGGTTCAGATATTAGCAGATGATTGGTTCTGTCCTCTCACTTATATTTTTAATGATTTTCTTCATTCCCTCCAGAAGAATGCTTTGAAATAGTTCACGAGGACTTTTTTCCTCTGAGGTTGGTTATTGCATTCATTATGAAGATGAGCTTTTTTATGAAATAATTTATGTTTATTTTGATAATCATATGAAACTGATAAATACAAAAGAATAGTTGCTGATTGTTAAAGCACTTGGCTGTAAAGAGTTAAGTAAACCAAATACTTCGTTTATTGCAGGTGTCGGCAAAGCGGGCCCAGCAGTGGTGTCAGGCTAAGAACAATATACCATACTTTGAAACATCAGCTAAGGAAGCGATCAACGTGGAACAGGCATTCCAGACAATTGCGAAGAATGCGCTGGCACAGGAAAGTGAAGTTGAGTTGTACAATGAATTTCCTGACCAGATAAAACTGACAGGAGAACAGAAAGGCAACCGGCAAGATGTCTGCTCGTGCTAATCTGGTGGGTGCTAATGGCTCTTGTAGTCTTTTAGTGTTCGTACTCTCATTTTACACAAGTAGCTACCATATCCTTTCTGAAAATCTTGTAAGAGTGTGTAGTACTAAAATACCGTTACTGCCCAAGGTGCATTAAAAATACGATTTGTGCAAACTGACCAGGCTATAGCAGTGGTCTAATAAGTTAACTTATACCATTATCCCCTCAGAAACAGTACTTCGTTAACTTGATATGTAATTCATTTTTTTTATTGTCTCTCATTACAGCATATTTATTTAAGAATTGTGGGAGAGTTTTTTTAAATAGGAAGAGTGAAAAGCTGAATTTTAAAGTTTGTTGGTCTGCTGCAGTGGTCCCCAACCTTTTTGGGCACATTTGAGAGTTTATGAGATCGTGGCGGGCACCAACCAATTAACAAAGCCAAATTTTCTTTTCTCTGGACAAATAAGATATGGACACCAAATAATACACAAAACAACACGATGTTTAATGATACAAGAAACCATGCAATCGAAAATACGTACTTTTATAAGTACAATTATTATTACTTAAGTGGGAAGTTAGCGTGATGTTTGGCGCTGCATTTCATCGGTCAGTTTTTCAAATTTGGGAGTGTAGGATGATGTTGCTGCTCGCAAACAATCTTCAAGATGGGCGTCAGTAAGTCGAGATCTGCGCTTTGATTTTATAATGTTCATGGTTGAACGGCCTTCATTATTCAGTATAACCTCTTTCCGTAACAACGCGGGCACCCAAAAAAAGCCTTGGCGGGCGCCATACCAGGGACCACTGGTCTGCTGCATTGATGTTGAGTAAATATTTAACATATCACAAATTGACTCTCTCATTAGGTACATCAGTCGAGCTCAGACAGACCGTATTTTTACTCCATATTGATTCAGATGATCTGAGAGGATGTTACTGCACCAAACATGTTTTAATCAAATTTTATTAACATGGACGTATGGTTCTTTATCTATATTTGTATTATTTTAGATGGTCTGGGAGAAGCAGAACAGTATCAGGCCTGAAGAAAATGATGAGGACGTTTAAAGATGTGATTCACTCCCTTTAATGCAGTTTATCAAGGGAATGACATGTGAAATGAAGACGTTACATGGGAAATGAACTGAAAGAAATATGAATACTCTCAGAATTTAAAGCTGTTACTTGCAGAAAAATTGTCATTAATATTAATAACAAAAATTGTCGAGCAAGAACATTATGGCAGAAAAATGGTTTTGTGGTACACAAATGTAAACTTAAATTCTTTGTTATGACATTATTTTCTCTTTCTCTTTATAATGTATAATAGATTTGATTTTCTGATTGTAAATTAAGGGAGTGTTTTATTAAATCCTATACCAAAATTGGCAGTCAAGTCCGGTAATATTTGCTAAAGCCAAGTGGTGGACAAGTATGATTGTCAGTAGTAGAGATGTCTGTGAAACTAGATTTATAGATATTTGTTAAATTATTTTCCTTTTTCTCAAACAAAACTAAATGCTATTGGTCAGTGCATGCCTGATGGAGATGATTATATGACATTAGTTCCAGAGAGAATATTGTTTGTGTACAGCTTATTTGTAGTGCATACTGTGCTGAAAGCAAAAACTTCCGTAAACATTTTATGTTATTAAAATTTAATGTGCTGTCTGAAAAAATTCATTTAATTTTTAATGACCCTAAGGCCACTTCTTTGTTTACATTGCAAGTCTCTAGTAATATTAATGAATTTAGCCGACTGGTAATGTATCGTACAGAAATTTAATAAATAGCTCATTGTTAATGAGAACTAAAGTGAAAATTTGGTGTATCATTTATTTATGGGCTTCATGTAGGTTGCCAAAGATGAATATGAATAAATATTACGAATGGTGTTATTGCTGTTTGAATTACATTACATACAGTAATTAATGTTTTGCTTTTTTATATCCAAGATTAGTTGATAAGAGGGCGTAATTTGCAATGTGGTTGGCCCACAACTTGTTAGATTTAAGAGCCTGGAACCAGTCTTACTGGTTGTATAAAATGTCCTTACTTTGTCAATGATCTGTCTTTGCAATCTATTAATATATCTGTTCTGTATGTATTGGGAATAGTGAGAAATTCTCCTACTCTTCCCCCCACTGAAGGGGGCTTCAGAGCCCACAGTTAATGTGTTTTGAGTACAGCACTCTCTGTTGAAATTAAAAATAACAATAAAGACATTTTCATAAATTTTAACTGATATGTTTTTGTATACCCAAATTTCAAAAATGGATACTCTGCTTTTACATTTAACTGTTGCCTGAGTAATTGGTTTTGTCGTAAAGGTTTAATAATATATCACAATAACTGTCAGTTGTTTGAATATTGTAGGCCGACAGTAGTCCAGCTGGAACGTCGTGTCTGATTCGTCCCTTTGCCTGTGGCATATAAACTCTGGTAGGAAACGTGGAGGAAGTTGAAGTAAAATGTTTATGTGTTGAATTAAGTATGTTGAGAAGGAAGACGGATAAAACGTACGGGCCTTAAATGTTTCCCCTTATCACTAGAGTTTACAATAAAACAATTTTGAATTAATATATAATGTGTTGGTTAAAATATACAAAACAGTTTTGCCTGTTTTGTATGAGTGTGAAACATGGTCTCTCACTCTCAGGGAGGAACATTGATTGCAGGTTTTTGAGAATTGGGTGTTGAGGAGGATATTTGGTCCTGGGAGAGAAGAGAATGGGGCATGGAGAAAGCTTCATAGTGATGAACTTAAAAATTTATACTCCTCCCACAATATTGTCAGAGTGATTAAGTCGAGAAGAATGAGATGTGCGGGGCATGCATGGATGGGGTAAAAGGTGTGCACTGGGTATTGGTCAGGAAGCCTGAGGGGCAAAGACCGCTGGGGAAAATTAGATGTAGATGGGAGGATAGTATCAAGCAGTATGTATGGGGGAGAGGTGTTGAAGGCGACTGGATTTGGCTGGCCCAGGACAGGGTCCGATGGAGGGCTTTGGTTAATTCGGTGATGAACCTTCAGGTTCCCTAAGCCATGTAGTTAGTTGTGTTGGCCTAATGATGTGAAGTGTGTTTATTATACTGCCTGCCAGCACATACTTTTTCATTTATGGTAATTTACTGCATATTTTAACTTCAGTTGGCAATTTTCTTCCATGTTTTTTAGTGGGTGGTGCAAAGGAAAGAGGCTTTTTTAAAAACAACGGGAAATAAATGACTAAGTAGATTCGTTACTGTCCAGCTGAAGTGCATGTTGCATGTATCATAGATGTGTTCCTGCGTGCACATATGTGAAAGTTTGTTTTAGTAGGGTTAGGTGGTATTTAAATTCACTTTTGCATCTGATTACTGACATTAGATTTAGTTTCATATCAGTTGTAATTTCAAAACATGGAACTGGATTGCTGGTGAAACATTATTAAGAATTATTAGAAGTCCTTTTTTTTACAAGTGTTCTCAGAAACCATAACATAAAAATAAAGTTCTCTGACTTTGGTATAGCAAATTGCTTGTGTTGTAAAGGCTGGTTAGAAATACACACAGTTCATATTGGAAAAATGTTGCAATTTTCATTAATATTTCTTGTTATTTTGTAAAGAAGTCAGCATTACAATTATGTATTTAAAAGTAGTGAGCTTTTTTTATGTTGCTGGTGTTTGTATGGAATTTAACCATGTAAACGTACCAAAGCAAATACATAAGTATTTGCCCTCTTAAGATCTTGCATATTGTTACAAGGCTGTGATTTTGCACACTCACACAACAAATGCTGTAATGTTGTTTTTTTAAAGTTTACAGTGTGTTTGTAATTAGAGGGTGAATCTGTAAATCCTGTAATTTTCACTGTGTTACCTCTATGTAGAAAATTACAAGTTTTGTTCATAAGGAAAATATGAACCAGAATCAGGAACAACAATCCAACAGTCGATAAACACTTGTCACAAGTTTCTTGCCCCAGTTTTTTGGTAGAGTTCACACATTCAGAAGACTGTATTACATTGCATATAAAGCCCTTTATTCAGTAGTCTCTGTTGTGTTTACAGCTGCTTACTGTGCAACCAAAAGTGGTTTTTACAGTGCAGAAACCATACCATCATTTTTTTTTTCATTGCATCTTGTGATAATTCACAGTCAGATTGTTTTAGAAGGATGATTTGAGTGACATTACATTCTTGAATATGTGGAAAGAATTATGTTGCAAAATATTTCACAAGTGCTTAGCGTTGAAGTGATTGTAATTTTCTCCAAAGTTTTGTTTTTGTCTATATTCAGGGTGAGCATTAATAAAACATGTAACTTTTTTGGAGTTGAGTTTTAACTTTTTTATTTTGTGAATGAAATATCAGACGTTCTGCGTATTGAATGTTTGGTATTGTGACAGTGGCTATGAAAAGAAATCTGTCTTGTCTTCTCTTCTCTCTACATGGAAGATACTCATTCTGTGTTGTGACTTGTTCTCAGTAAATACCTGCCATGATGAGTCTTGCACAGTAAATGATTTCATATTACATTTAATTCATTTCTTAACGTATGCCCATTTATGGTGTATGTCGTTTTGAATGTTGTATATAAATATTACCATTGTGTGGAGACTCCGCTTTGTCCATATGCAAACTGCAGCTGCACTTTTCTGTATATATTGTTTATGGGACTTTTGTTATATCATGATAGACTCTTTCAGAAATTAATATAATATATAGTCTTCCTTCGGGAAATTATTTGCTCATATACATCCTGTATGTATTAGTTTGGAATATTAAATTTATTCATGAAGGAATGAGAAAACATGTACAACTGCACACAGTTTTCCTTGAGAAGCCGAACCAGTTGGTAAACAAAATCTTCACCGTAAGATTTGAGGCTTTCACAGCGGTGAGTATGAAGATTTCTGTCTTCTGGGTTGTTGCGCTGTATAGTCTGGTAGATGTTTACCAACGTTTCAGAGGTCATACTGCCTCCGTCATCAGGGCGAGGGACCATGAATATGATGTGTGTATGCTAAGGGAACAAGCAAGGTTCATTTGTTTCTTAAATACTCTGGATGCTAAATAGCATGGTAATTTTTTATAACACTGAAGCAGTATGTGTTATGACAACGCACTTCAACAGTGGTCTTGAAGGTTAGGTGTTTATTTAAGTTTTCTGTAATGATATAGTTTAAGAAGTTGGAAACTACTGTCATAATGAATCAATATATTGGACATGTTATAAATTTACCTTTTATTTTCTCTATTCTTAGCTGTAATCAAAGGCATTTATCATCTCAGTTAGTTTATAAGACATGAAGGAGGCAACTGTAACACTCTGAAATGGCAATATAATATTCACCATCTTATTTGTCATGAGTAAAATTTGTGTATAGATTGTAATGTGTTGCTAAACAGGATGATTCTTAGATGTGGACATTATTACCTAATGATTAATGTTACTGCTGATACTACTGCTGCTGCTTCTACTATATTTCATTTGTAAAATAAATGAAACCAAAATGTACTGGTATTTAAGTAAAATTTAAGAAAGTTATAATATGTTTTGTGTATTTTATACCATCTGTGCAGAGTATACATAGTTCTGATTTTTTTTACAAATATAACAACACACTATTTTTATTTGAATATGTCAGTGCTAGAATATTTATTTTATTCAATTGCCATTGTCCATGGTAATGTTACTAAGGGTATTAAATCCATCACATAACTGTAAGAAGTCTGTGTCATCATACAATCAATTTAAACTACTGCCATCTAATCCATTACAATGTCAATATATCAACCACTGACAAAGTTAAAAATACCACTTTTAGATTTTTGTAACGCCCCATCGTCAGAAACCTTTAGGCTTCACCCGAAAGAAAAAGGCAGGGTCTGATAATCACCGGCTTCCATTTTTGAGTCACATTGTTTTGTGAAAACTTTCATTTTACAGATTCAGGATACAATGGCGAGTGTCTTCATCATTATTTTTTTCCTCGCCATCATGTCAGAAATCCGGGACAGTTTAACCAACATAACGACATGATAAACGTATTGATGCAAGTTCGACTCGCAACTCTTTTGCCATCTGGTGTGAATCAGATAAATTGAAGTAATGAGACCATTCATATATGCAACTCCTTTACAATCAACACTATATTAACCATGGGTAGAAAAGGATAAACACAAAAAAGGTTAGATTTCTCAAAGAAGAGGAATTAAGTTAGGAAATAATAGCATGTCAGTATATGTCATCGAAAGTTACAAAATCATCGCTAGGCAATTCTGTAAAGGCAAGTCACTTTTACAGAAAGCTGTCTCCTCACTCTCATTTGTCTACTTTTCACAATCGATATTTTTACGCTAATTTACGTTAGATGTCTCGTGTCATTTCCGGTATCTGTGACAGTTCACTATGGACGGTGTTATAGTGTGGTTGTTGGCGTGTTTAAGAACGTTGCGGTTCTGGAGGGAAAAGGGAAGCAGGTTGCAGCAGATTTTGGTAAGTGCAAAAACACATTGCAGAAGTTATTAAAACTGCGAGGAGATGTAATATGGAAAGTAAAATGAATTTGTGAACAGCGTAGCTCCGTAATTCCACACCGGGAATCATCGAGAATGCATTTGGAAACGTACGTTAGTTTGGTACGTTCTTTCAAAAAACTTCAAAATTCAGTGCTCAGTTGCGTTACTTACCTTATAACGTGTTGTGTTAAGGGTAGAAATTTTACAATTCAAATTTAGAAGCAGGATAATGGAATTGGGTAGGTTGGGATGTTCATGTTGGGTGTGGTCACTATAAGTATTTTTCATAATCAGTGACAGGTAAGAATAATCGCCATTTTATAAAATATCTGCATTTCATATGTTTTTAGGGTGCATAAAACAACCGACATAGCTCAGTCAGTATAGTGACTGGCTACAGACTGGACGACCGGGGTTCGATCCCCGACGGGGGCAGAGGATATTTTCTCTAGCCTCTGCGTCCAGACCGGCTCTGGGGCCCACCCAGTCTCCTATCTAATGGGTAACGGGGTCCTTTCCCGGGCTGACCACTCACCCCCATCTAGTGCCGAGATAAAGAATGAGAAGGAGCTATAACACCTCTCTCCCCAGAGCGCGTACTTGGCGCATTTTGGGAAAGCTTTACTTTACTTAAAATTAACTTATTGTAGGCATGTATTTATTTCTAAGGAGGCTTGAATGAGTCAGCATATTTTTTACCCAGAACTGCTGAGCCTGTTTTTTGAAATTTTACATTGTGAGGGAGGGGGGAACTATAAATAGTCGGGCGAACATTATTTGTTTTGTGCGTGCAGTGCAAGTAGAACATACCTAGTTTCTCAAAAACAGCTCAAAGGTTCCAAAGACTTGCATGGATCCGGACCATTGTATAGAACCTGGGATACGGTATGGCGTGTATGGAACCTGTTAAGGTCTGTAATATGTTTCGAACTATTAGCAATGACGTTTCTATGGAAATTTAATTTATTGAATAGGTTTTGTGAACAACAGCACTTAGTAGGCTATACAGTGGCACATTCTGTTTGTTGGCTTTGCAACATTGTAGTTGTACCTGCAGTAAATCAACGTCAGCATCAATGGCGGATCCAAAACCAGTTAGCAAATGATGCAATTGGAAAATATGTGTAGGTCTACTGCAAAGTACAGTACACTTTCTCACTCTTGCTGCTTTTCTGTGGCTGTATGAACCACTGTTTTCTTTTTTTCCAGTGCATCCTGCCCCTCATTTGCAATAGGCCTATATTTCTTGCCTCCGGGCTTAACATTTATTGAGTTTCAGGCGGATGTGTCATCCATGTAAAATGTCTTCCATTTTACTTGATGACGGGAGTAAACCCAGTTTTCGAAAGGTTGTGATTTTGTAAAATTAGACTTTGTACAAAGTCCGAAAGAACAGTTTAACACGTGTAACGCATTATTGTTAGGAGAATTCAGTTGGCAGTAATGCATTCTGAATTTTCCAGTTCTATGGTGGTACCGTGAAACAAGTATTATTCATATTTTTCTGATTTAAAGCTTGGGGTATGAGTGGGACATATGTTGTTTTCCTTCTTCTGTGAGTCACGCGTAGCCTTCAAGCGTCCCGTTGGAAACGATATCCTTGGAAGTTCGTAGACCAGACGCAATGGAGCCACAGACATTGAACATTTTTCGTCATTAATCTTAAGTGTGCATTTCCTTTTGTTTCGAAACACAATTTTGGCAAAATTCCCGAAATGACCGCGCAGTACAATGTTTTTGCGTGACGAGGCGATCAGGCGAAACATAAACTTCCGCCTTGTTGAGCAAGTCAAACTTCTGTGTAGGAAAATCAAGAACATTAGTGACATTCTGTGTGTTAAGGTGATTGAAGTGTTGTGTGTGTCTATGTGTATGCATGCATTATTTATGTATGTATATACGCAAATATGCATTATATATGCATACCAAAGTATCATATCCCACAAGAACTGACTTTCGTTATTGCTTTGTCTAGAAAATGGTGTAGTGCGTGTAGTATACATTCAGAGCTGTGTTTTATATTTCGCGTCGAGAAGTAGACTGCTCTTAAGACTGCAGTAATGTAATGACTGCACGAGTCAGATAACTGTGAATTTTGACAGATGGAATCCTTCAAAGCGAGTTTTTATGAATTTTTTACTGGACTAGAGGTCCCTGTATCGAAAACTGTCATAAACACTGACACAGGCGTCCGACAACTTGGATAATAAGTCGCAGAAAGCATAGAAATATTACATTCCTTGAGACTTTCCATATTTCTGGCAGACAACCAGTGTATTAACTTCACCGTCACAAAACAGACTCGTCCTGACGGCTTTGATGTGGTCATCATTATAAATCCTACCACGAAGGACGTATTGCCACAACCAGTGGTATCATAACCAAGGTCACTTTAGTCGTCAAATACGAATTTAACACGTCTTTTCGAATAAAATTAGTGTAAGGACGACGTATGTTCTACCAAATTGTAGGCGAAGATGACAGCCATCTGGGATATTGCATCGTGCAGTCTGGTAGAAGTTAAGCGACGTTCGAGAGGTGTCTGCTGTTTCTATCATAAGGACGATGAGTCTGATTATAGAGACAGTACGCACGTCTGAAACGTCGATTAATTTTTACGAGTCTGCGTGGCGCAATATCCCAGAAGCCTGCCATCTTCGTACTAGCCGCCGTAGGAACCTGATCTCAAATGGAAAACTTTGTATCAAGTTGGATTCCTCGCAGTCCGTGCTAAATAGGCGCATGGCAGGGCAGTGTTCGTATCTTCCCTTCCGACTCGAATCAAATTCCTTTGACAGTCTCTTATATCTCTGTTGATACAGGAAATCAACGCCAACTGTGGCGAGAAATATAAATTATTCGTATTTAAACATTTCGTGTATAGCAGTCCGAATGACTTGGTTTGATATATGTACAGATTGTCCCAAAAAGATGTGTACTTATTATAATAGTGAGCCGGGATAGTTCAGTCAGTATAGTGACTAGCTACGGGCTGGACGACCGGGGTTCGATCTCCGACGGGGGCAGAGGATTTTTCCTCTAGCCTCT